ATCTCAATAAAATTAGTTTTGGCATTTACATGGAGTTGATTTTTGGTCTAATCTACCTAGCGGGGCTGACAACTTCAGCTTGGAACTGACTGGTCTAAAGTTACCTGAAGAATTGCTGACCTGATTTGGAAATGTTTTCTAAAATCCTTTTCAGTTCTGCAAACATATTGGGCATCTCTTATGACTGAACCCGAAATTATTCATCAACCAATTTATTGATTAGATCCTTCTGATTAAATTATGGGATTATACTTTGTTCTACCTAGAGAATCTAGATCTCTGGTGGACCTGGTATTCAAAAATGATGTCTGTATCTAAAATTATGAAGACCAAAATACATCATATACTGTTATAGGACATCTTTCTTCAACCATTCCTTCCCTCATTACATTCCTACTCAAATTTGCATTGCAAATAGACTTCATTACTTGAAAAGAAAGACCAGGTTTAAATATGTGTTGTTTTATTAGGTTTCCATATTTTCCTAGGATGCACAGAACTATTATGGGAAACAGAGCTTTGTCACATGATAGCATTTTCATTTCTGAGACTCCACAAGAACCACCTACACCAGTTCGAGTATTTTCTCAGGAAAATGTTTCTGATCGAATTAGGACTTTGCAGGTAATTCTGTTGAAATAATTGATTTCCATTATTTCCAGATTTTTTCATTTCTGGTATGATGCAGATTTGTATATGATTTTGGTATAGACAGTATGATATTCAACAGGTGTATGAACAGAAACATTTCCAATAGAGTTTCTTTAAATTAATGAGGTGGAGAATTTAGTCATCCAAGGAACTTGAATATCAAGGTGATTATATGATAGTTATACTGTAGCACATGATCTACATTGAAAGCCAAAAGGTACCTTTTGGGCAGTGCAGTAAGGATGTGCTCATTCAGTGCATAGTTTTGGAACAAACATCATGTCCTTCTTTGTTAGTAATTGAACAGAATATAACTGCTTGTTCAACTACCTGCTGCTAAACTCTCTTGATCTAAGCTTTGGCTCTCAAGGGCAAGATCAACATTGTTTTGTTTATTTTTTACAACATAATTTTAAAAAAATGGTCTCAGCAGTAAGTAAGCATTGTATAAAATCACATTCTCCTTGTATATAGTCAAATAAGGTAAAGGGCAAGAGGCAGAATGACATCATCCACATGCATCTTTCTGCTGGGCACAAAAAGAAAGTGTACTTGTGATTTTTGGGAACAGCGTGTAATTACATCATTTTTTTTCTTCTATGAAAGCAAATCTGTTATTTTAGTAGTATAAGAAATGTATTAAAACTCAATATTTGGTATTGTAGATGAAACTCCAGCAAAACTGGAAGATGGGCCTCTCCTATCCATTTGGAACTCCTTCCAAAAAACAAGAGGATGCTGGAATGAGTTCAGAAGATGATGGTTTACCCAGGAGTCCACCAGAAACATATTTGCTACAAGAAATTCTAAATCCCAATACATCAAAGGTAGGATAAATTGGGGAAAACATTTTATAATTATAGATTGTGTTTATCACCTGAATTCATATTGCACTTTGTAGTAATAGTAAATGACAGACGTTTATAATAAAAATATTCAAATTTTTGTATATTATGGATAAGATCCTGTTTTACTAAGAGAAAGATGTTTTGAAAAATGCATAAACACAAAAATAACTGTAAGAAATAGAATATCCTAGAATCATGTCAAATGATAGAGGCAATATTTATTGTAGTAGATTTCTCGGAGATCTATTTGATTCCTTCTGGACTGTGATACTATTCTGAAAGAAAAGCCTCAAAGGTTTTTAAAAATGAAGTAGAAACAAAAAGATAGCTAATCGGAAGGCCTTTCCAACTTTCACCTAATCACAGCACAAACATGTCTTGACAACATCTTTTTTTCCTGTGGTTTTTCTCATAATGTTACCTTTACTTCATTTCCAGTACATGAGCTATACCAATGTTAGAGTAGTGTTTTCTCCCTTCTTTTGACATATCAACAGGAGAGGGATTGGTTCAAGACTGAGTGGAGAACACTTAATTCATCAGTCATGAAAATCCCTTACTCTGATATCTTTTTTTAAAGAAAGCTGCGTAAATACTAGAAAATATGGTCAGCTTTCTTCTAAAAACAATTTCCACTGTCATATTTATTTTATTTTATTAATTTATTTATTTATTTATTTATTTATTATTTATTATTTATTATTTATTATTATTTATTATTATTATTTATTTATTAATTTGATTTATATCCCGCCCTTCTCCTTACGGACTTCTCCTAATTTTTAGAGCTCTATAGAAATATTCTTGTTGCCTATGTGGTGTTTGTATAGCACAGCATGCTGGCTGGGGAATTCTGGGAGTTGAAGTTCACATAATTTAAAGTTGCCAAGTTTGAAAAAATACTGGCATAGTAGAGACTATAGCTTTTGTTTATATTTCATTTCATATTGTCATCTGTTACTGAAACTTTTCCTCATTCCACCCCACAGTTTTCAGACTCTCACAAGCATCATAGCTCTTTGAGTTTAGCTGGAACAGGCAGTGAAGAAGAAGAACAGGTAATTTAAATGTATCTATACTTCACAGCAATGTTGTAATATCTCATGGGATGCCTCAGAAAGGTTGCAGGGACAGGTTGCAATAGTTTTGTTAACAGCTATTAATGAAGCATATCATTAAAGGATATCATTAGCTGCATTACACCTATTGTCATCTATTTTTCTTTCAAACATGACTAAGGAAGAAATGAACTGGAAACAAATGCAGTCATATTTTATTTTCTAAGTTGGCAGTCACCCAAACGGAAAGAGTTTTTAAACTATTTCCCTCAGATTGTCTTTAAAAGTTAATTTTGTACAGATCCAATGATTATCTCCAAGGTCTCTTGATTAGCCCTTTTATTCTTCTCTTATTGATTGGCCACATTCCCCCATTAACAATTGAAATTGCAACTACTTTGCTGATGAAGGCTATTGGCTATTCTGTTTGAGAGCATTGTTATTCTTTTCCAAAGCTCTCTTTGACAGAATGGCTGCCTCTTTTCAATCAGCGGCACATGTAACCAGCAGATTGAAGAATGGCTTTAGTAGCCTCTTGAAGGACCCCATTTATTCTCTCATCTGGAGAAGAGCTAATAGGTATGTAGGAGATAGAAGGGACAACTGGAACACTACAAATGGAGAAGAAAGCAAGTAATACACAAAGAAATTACTACTTTTCTTTCCTAAGTGAACACTTTCTGTGTGAAGATCATGATAAAAATTGTAACAATGATTATCATTCTATTTTAATCAACTTTCTACTGTCCATTGTTCTGAAATACGGAGTACGGGCCATTGTTTCTTTTGCCAAACTTGAGATCTGTTTTGATGATAAGCTGCCAAACAAACATTTTTCAGTTTCTGACAGAAGAGAGAAAAGAAGCACTGAATATTACAAGCAACATGACTGTGAAAACTCCACATCTTTAATCATCCATATCATGGAATTGTCTTCATAGGTCTGTTCCAAATCACATTGGACATAGCATTTTTTTGGTGGCAATAAGAAAAAAAATATATAACATTCATATAAGGACCCCTTTCTTTCTAAAACAATAGCTAGAGTTCATATATTTTTAATAACTGAGCTTTCATCAATCCACTATTGACGTCATCAAAGTATGAGCTAGTCGCTGGAAACGCTCGTTTTTATAGCTGTGTGGATGTTAGCGATCTAGTCCTGAAGTGCGTCACCAGTCTACCCACCCCTTGTTCTCAACAATCATTTCAACAATGCCCTCAATCTTCAAATATACCTCGCAACGCAAAGAGCACGCCAGAGAAAAGCCGAGACACTCCAATGAAAAACAGAGATCCTAAGAGCGTTAGACAATCGAAGGAGAAATAACAAACTGATGCACAACCTATCATCTAAGACATTCACCAATGAACAAACCTCGGTCCTGCAACGGGACATCAGCTTTATCTCAATAGATGCAAAACCCATTGATTTCGCTGCAGCCTTAGAGTTAACAATCCACCGTATTGAGGCCAACAATGAGACTAAGAACTTCATTAGGCAGCATGTAATAGTTAACCACAGGAAAAATCATGTCCTTTCAGAATCAGAAGAAGCGGCCCTTGAAGAGCTACGGAAGGACAGCTCAATTACCATCTTGCCAGCTGACAAAGGCAGAGCGACCGTGGTTATGGATAAGCCAGAGTATGACCACAAGATCTACGCCTTGCTTAATGATGAGAGTGCGTATCGGACGTTACAAGGATCTGATGACGTCACTCAGAAACCAACCTAGCAAAACAGTAGATAGACTCATGAGGCAAAGTAAAATTCATGAAGAAGATCAAAAAGCAATCTGACCCAGAGATTCAGCCATGGCACGGATTTATGGACTACCTAAGATTCATAAAGTAGGGGTCCCGTTATGACCCATTGTGTCATTTAGGGGTACCCCAACCTTTGGTCTAGCCAAATGGCTGGGCAGATGACTCCAACATCTGGTCAAGGATACCACGACCACGATAAAATCTTCGGAGGATTTCCTGGAAAGGTTACAATCGGTAAAGGTGGAGGATGATGAAATTATGATATCTTTTGATGTAACATCTTTATTCATTTCCATTCCTCAAGAGCTGGCCGTCTCTGTGATAAGGGGTCTGCTACAGAACGAAGAACCACAGCTCCAATCTGCCCAATACAGAAGACTTCATCTAGCTGTTACATTTTTGCCTCAAAACGTGCTTTACATTTCATGGTACCATATATGAACAAGTAAAGGGTACACCTATGGGGTCCCCCATTTCAGGTGTCATTGCTGAAGCAGTTCTGCAAGATCTGGAATGCAAAGCAATGGCCGACTATCGATCCAAATTCTGGGCCAGGTATATCGATGACACATTTGCCATCATTAAACGCCGTGACAGCATCAGGTTCATGGAGAAATTGAACTCGATTTATTCGGACATCCAATTCAAAGTGGCAGAGGAAATCAACAATACCCTGGCTTTCCTGGACGTGCTGCTCAGTCACCAACCCAATGACACCCTTTCTACTACTGTTTACTGTAAGGCCACACACACAGATCGGATTCTGCACAATGAGAGTAATCACCCCATTGCACACAAGATCAACTGCATTCGAATGTTGTTCAATAGGGTTAACCCCCATTGCAGCACAATGACAGCGAAAAGTAAAGAGCAAGCATATCTCCATCATATATGCAGGCAAAATGGGTATTCAGCGAGCTTCATTTGATGCTGCTGCAAACATCAGGAACCACGATTGATCCATGACAGACCAATGACTGTTGCTTGGGTGACACTTCCATATATCAATGGTGTATCCGAAGCGATCGCATGGATACTTGCAACCCATGATATTAACGTCGCACACAAACCTAGCCACACCCTACGCACAAGACTAATGCACTCAAAGGAACTGCTATCCAGAGGGGATATGTTATCTATAGTGTATCGGATCAATTGCAACGATTGTCGTTGCAATTATGTTGGAGAAACTGCGAAACGCCTCCGGACTAGAGTCCATGAGCATGAACTAGTGGTCAGATGGCACGAACAATGTTCCCAAGTATGGGCACATAGAGCTGAGAGTGATCATACATTCAATTTTGCGGGGGCAGAGGTCATCGCCCAGCACCCCACGAAGGGTGGCCACCTGTTAAAAGAAGCCTGGCTATCTGACCAATACTCCATTAACCGACACGTGGAATTATTACCAGCGTATCAAGCACTGAGAAGACATGAACGGCTGCGCAGGGAGTCAGAGCGAATAAATTGCTTACCACCCCTACACCAGATGAACAGAAATATAAAATATCTGGGTCGCCTACCCATGGAACAACAGGATGTCACAACGAATGGAGACATAGAAGCACAAGTGGAATCCACCACAAGATCGAGAGAAAGACGGCAGACTAATGCGACCAGAGCAAGGCACACAGCAGGAGGACCACTAGTGGAGGAGGCTACGCGGCAGGCTGATGGCACGGCTGGGCAGGACAGTAGAAGGAGTGATCTGGCAATGACATTGAATGGCAGCTGCACGCTACAGGATGGACGTGACCAACGGGTGGGGCGGGTGGAGGGAGGGAAAATGTCAAAATCAAAGTGGATGCCAGCTAGCACGGCAAAACTAGGATTAATGCAACCAACTATGGGAGAACAAGGGGCAGGTAGACAAGTGACACGCTCCATGACTAGATCGCTAACATCCACACAGCTATAAAAACGAGTGCTTCAAGCAACTAGCTCATATTTTGACGACATCAATAGTGGATTGACGAAAGCTCAGTTATTAAAAAGGTTTTCTGTCCCAGAGATCAGTGGTTTTAATAGATTTTATTATATATATGTATATATACATACACACACACATATACATGTACATGTACATATACATATATAGACACACTCTGGGCAACTGCATGCAGCAGAACAGGCGAGCGGAACAGGCGAAGGGAGGGAAAACGCCAAGAGTCAACCTGATTTCTCCAGGTGAGCTTAGATCTTTCTTTGCAACATAAAGAGGGCAGACCTGTGACCTTCTACATATTGTTAACTACAATTCTCAGAAGCTGCAACTAACATAATTGAACACAGGGATTGCCATTTGCATCATCCATGGGACCATGGGCTTCCCCATATTATTCTATGTAAAAAGTATTCTGATTTAGGATTAAACGTCTATCATAACCAAAACTTTTATGCCCCTCTTTCTAATGCAATATTATAACTTTTACTTTTTAATTACAATATGACTATTTGTTGCTTTGCTGTAGCAAAAATTGAAATGTAATAATCTGTGTCAGCAAATTGCAAAGTACTTGCTATTCCCAAGCTAGGGGCCTGTTATTTTTATTTTTCCTTTTTTTGTTGTTATAGTTGGGACTCCCCCATAGTTTAAATAAATAAATAAAATAGGAAAATTAAGTTCAACTTACACAAAAATATAAGCAGATATAAACAAACTGGATAATTTGACAGCAGTGTTAGTTCTAGTGATGATGAAATAAGTATGCAACATCATTTAGGAATTTCCTGGTTTTATTTTGTTTTCTTTTAAAATTCTTATGGATTTGCTTTGATGCTATTCCCCTTCTCCCTTTTCTTTAGGTCACAAAAAGTCCTTCAAGAGTCTGTTCTGGAGAAAGTCAGCTGTTCTCCCATCAGCCAAAAGCTACAATTATAACTCAACAAACATTTGATAGCAGCTGTTTGCCTGGCGCTGATTTTGATATTCTTCCGGAATTATCCTCTTGCTTGGACAATTCAGCTGCTAAGCACAAGCTTTCAATAAAACCACGGAACCAGAGATCTAGTAAAATAAGACGACTACCTTTGGTAATTGATGAGAGAGAGAGAGAGGGAGAGAGGAAGGGAGGGAGGGAGGGGAGAGAGAGAGAGAGAGAGAGGAGCATTTGAAAGAGGAAATATTTGTGGATAAAGATTTATATTTCTGTACAGGCTTTTCCTATGATGTAACAATATATAAAAAACGCTCCTTGGTGAGCAACAAGGCTGTGCCAAGTATTTAAAAGGGACACTTTGCTAAGTATGTTAAAATCAATGATGTTTCCTTCCTCAAAACACAAAAACTATCACATCCTTCAGAAGGCTCAGGCAACTACTGTACTTCAGAGACTGTCCTTAACTATCTGTGCACATGTATGGGGATACACACCTATTTTGATGTGCTGGTTGGTTCCAGTGAAAGTATGGTCTAATGATGCATGTGCCAACAGCTGGGAAAGGTGACCTTTGAAGCAACCCCACACATATTTTAAAGGATTGGATGCTTTGACACTTCAAGGAGGGATCCTCTATGCCAGAGGTCACCAATCTTTGTCGGTTGGCGGACCAGAGGAAAAGGGAGGGGGAAGCGTGCGTGCGTGTGTGCGTATGCATGAGCACAGGGCCACGAGCATGCGTGTGCCACAAACAGGGCAGGGCTAGCACCCGCAAGATACTAACCCTGCCCCGTTCTTGTGTGGTGCAGTGTCTTTCTGCGCCCTGTGCCATGGCAGCGGCCGTTTTTGTGCCTTGCAGTGTGGTGGCAGCCCATTTTTGTGCCCCATGGCATGGTGCCGCCCCATTTTTGTGTCCCGCAGCATGGTGGTGCCCCATTTTTGCACCCCACGGTGTGGCAGTGCCCCATTTTTGTGCCCTCCAGTGTGGCGGCATCACATTTTTGTGCCCTGAGGCACGGCGGTGGCCCATTTTTGCGTCCCAGGGTGCAGCAATGACCCGTTTTTGCACCCCGTGACACAATGTCCTGTTTTTGCCCCCCTCAGCCATGGCACTAGCACAAATGAGGGGGTATGCCCTAACCCTAACCCACTACTGGGCCGTGGCCCACAGGTTGGGGACACCTGCTCTATGCTAATGCATTTTGTGATAAATGCCTTTCTAATGCTTTGCACAGTCCTATTGAATAGGTGCACCCTGAAATACAGGTAGTCCTCAACTTACAACCTTTTATTTAGTGACCATTCAAAGTTACAATGGTACTGAAAAAATTGATTTATGACCATTTTTCACACTTACCACCATTGCATCATCTCCATGGTCACGTAATCAAAATTTGGATGGTTGGCAACTGGCTCATACTTATGATAGTTGTAGTGTCATGTGGTCAACTTTTGCAGCCTTCTGACAAAGTCATTGAGGAAGCCAGAATCACTTAACAATCATGTTACTAACTTAACAAATGCAGTGATTTACTTAACAAGTATGGTAAGGTAAAACAGGGCAAAATTCACAACTGTTTCACTTAGCAATATATATTTTGACCTCAATTGTTGAAGACATAAGTTGAAGACTACTTGTATTACTAGTGATGTGAGTATTTTCTGTCATATGGTGATTAAGTGAGTGGAAGGAAACACTTGAATAGAAATCCCTTGAATAAAAGAATTTATACTCTTAGGACCCTAAAAGGTTGCTTTAAACAGATTCAGATTTTCTGTCCCTGTAAGCCTAATATTGTTGTTACAAGCTTGCTTCACACCTCATGCTAAGCTACAGCTTGAATAAACCACTGTATTGGGTGTACACAGCATGCTTATAATACCGTGTTTCCCCAAAAGTAAACCCTACTCAAAAGGTAAGCCCTAGCTGATTTTTGGGGGGTGGGCCTAATATAATGCTCCAACACTGGAAGTTTTTAAGAAGAAACTGGACAGCCATTTGTCCAAAATGGTATAGGGTTACCTGCCTCAGCAGGGGGTTGGACTTGATGACCTCCAAGGTCCCTTCCAACTTTATTATTATTATTATTATTATTATTATTATTATTATTATTATTATTATTAGCCCCAAAAGTAAGTCCTAGCGTGGGGTGGGGTGAGTCAGCCCAGATCTTCCCTGCAGTTGCTGGAGCGCCCCACCCCGCTGCCAGCAGTTGCTGGAGCGCCCCAGTGGCTGCCATGGGCCCCGCCTTTTCTGTCCCACCATCTGCTTGCCTGCGGCCGCAACAAACCAAACCAGTAGCACAGGCAGCCACTTGGCAGCTGCATGGCTCCCAACGCGGTCAAGAAATGTCCCAGCAGCAGTAGGGCCAGCAGGCAGGGCGGGCGGAAGCCAGGGCTCACCGAGGGTTTGATTCATTAAGGCTGCAGGCAAGCAGACAGTGGGATGGAGAGGGTGGGACCAGCAGTAGCCAGTTCCACCAGTGACTGCTGGTGAAGGGCCCTGGCAGGCCGGCAGCGGGGGGTTGCTCTGGCGGTCACAGGGAAGATCTGGGCCGACTTGCCCAGTGCCAGGCTCGGTGCCCTTTCCGCTGCACCCACCATAGCCACACCAGTACCGTAGCTGGTCTGCCACCAGGCTCTCGCTGCCATATTGCTTCTCTACCCCATGAACAGGCCCCACCCCATCCCCACATGCTCGTGGCGTACTGGTGCTGGTACCGGCAAAAAGTAAGCCCTCCCCGAAACTAAGATTTTCTGCTTATTTCAGAGCCCAAGGGTCTTACTTTCGGGGAAATACGGTAGTGCAAGACTATCTTACAATTATTTACACAGAAAATGACAATGTATACATAGTAGGTAGATACAAGAATTATAAGGATATGTTGAGAAGTTACACTGAATTCTAATTTATGTGAAGACAAAAAGATATATCATGGTATACTATTTAGCCCTCCACTGCAGTTCATTAAACCATACGTGTTTTTCTAGCATCATGTAGCAAGTGCAGAGGACAGCTGTATGATCATAGGAAAGGCATGAGTGCTTCAAGGAACTGCAGACAATTATTACACTTGCATCATCATATATTTCAAAGATATGTTCTTGCCTTTAAATTCAAAATACTGCACACTTACAATAAAAAATATAGTGTAAAAAACAAAGTTAGCCACATTTGTAGGCTGAAATTATGCACGTTTTAAAAAAGCACTATGAAAAATGAAGAAGCTATGAAATAATCAGTTCTTACGTAAAAACGATTCCATTTATTTGGTATTTAGTAGGACCATTCCATGCAAATCATACAAAGAATATGGAAGTAGCTTCTGAAGCAGCTACTGTACTTAAACTTGGACAAAGATGTGGTTGTGAGTCCTTGGCACACTCTGAGCTTGCTCGGTTGCTTGTAGATATTTCATTACCCACCTAGGTAGTGCTAGAACACTCACTCTCACTGATGATGTTATCTAGTCAAGTAATGAAACATATGCAAGCAAACAACCAAGCTCAGAGATCACCAAGGACTGTACAATTAAACCCTGAGCTACAAATATTTTCTTATGTTTAAAGATAAAGCTGTTTTAAAGGTTCAGAGGTACTTCCAAATCTCCTTTTTTACACAGTCCTACTATTTAGTTGTTAAAGATAGAAAGAAAATAAGAGACTGACAATATTTCTCTTCCATTTATTGTATAATGATTCCTAATTAGTAATGAAAAAATTATATATTCCAGGTAGATTCAAGAAAAAAATGGATGTATAACTTTTTAAGAGATAATCAATGGAGGGTTGTTTCCTGGATGGTAGAGTGGCTTTTCTGAATTATAACAATTTCCAAATGATGACTGTCTTAATCTTTGCAATCAGAACAACAAAATTTGTATATCTTAATGATTACTGAATTTATTAGCACACGAACTCATGGTTCATCTGAACCGTGAAACGCAATGGGAACTGGTTCAGAGGGAAATGTAATTGAAATCATAGAGAAATAGTGACCACTTTTATACAGTATGTGTGCCTTGTGAATTTCATCACATGCACCCACTACCTCTTGAAAATATTTCATACTGTTGAAGTGAGTAAAATCACAAAATTCCACAATAAGCTCTTTTAATTTAGGTTGCTAAAAGTTTTTATTGTCAATGATACTTCCTTCTTAGGAGTGACTAATCATTTTAAAAAGTACTGCTGTGATGTAGAGAAAAGGTGCAAGCTCTTTTTGTTTCTTGCAGAAGAAATTATCTGAGTCTCAGAAAGACATGATCTGCACTCTTGAGGAAGATGAAAGTGTTGGGAATGAAGTGCTGGTTGAAGAATCCTACAAAGGTGCGACTTCCAGTCCACAGGAACTGACTGACAATGCAGCTTTATCCAATATGGTTTCCTCCGAGCTTCAGTCTAATTTGAGTCACCCAGATGAAAAGACTTACACGTCACACTCCACTTCTCTGATGGACTCACATTGCTATGAGAACCCTTCAGAGGGCAGTGAATCTGTCCAGGGATTAGTATACACTGTAAGGCAATCTTCAGCTTCTGACCCGAAAGAAAATATTGCTCCACAGTATGACAAAGGCGACTGTGAAACTTTAGAGATATCTCCTAAGAATTTAAGTAATGTGCCCTTAAGTGTTTTAAACCAAGAAAATAAACAGATTTCTTGTATTCTATCTAAAAATATCCCTGCCAAAAAACATGTGATTGCTGAATCAGATGTATCAGAGAAAAAATCATTGAAAGGTGCTAAGGAACCTTTGGAAAGTGTTTCTAATAAGGAAGCTACACAGAGAACATCTTTACTGGCCAATTCTAACATTTCTTTATCCACAAATCCTTCCCAGCTTCCAAATTTACTCCATTCAGAGAACAGTAGTATTTCTCTGGCTTCATGCAGAAACTCTTCACTGGAAGAGAGACCTTCTTTGAGTCAAGGCAAAATGAAAGCAACTCAAGAGAAACTGGAATCTAATGATGAAGACCATCTCCCAGCTATATCTGATGGTATATTGGGAGGGAAAGCAGAGAAAGAAACCAATGACCTTTGTGGGTTGAGAAAGTTTTCAGTGTCATCAGCACGGTGGAGATCTAGATCTAACAGCCTGAACACGAAGGATGCTTCAGAGCATGAGAAGCCTCTTGCCATGCAGGTAAATTTTTCCATAAATGGTGAAAAGACAAAGAAGTATGTTGAGATGAATTCTTCACAAGAGAAAAAAAGATGCATTAATAAACAGAAATCTTCATTAGAGTCAGAATCTGATATTCCTGGTAGAGCATTAGACTCAAAGACTTTTGCCTCACAGCCTTTGGATTCAAAACCAGTATTGAGCAACTCTTTTGGTAATCTTTTGCAGCTGTCAAGTCCAAGCCATTCAAGCTCTGAAGGCCAAAATCCCTTCCAAGTCAAACTTAGGTCCACATCTTTATTACTGAAATACAGAGACATTGGACAGGAATCAAAGGAATGTAAAGGAGATAATGCTGAACTTAATTTAGTAAAAGGGGAAGTGACTTTATCTTCACTGAAAGTTGAAAAAGGAGAAATCAGGAAGATAATGGATGGAAATGTTACTGATTTGTCCAATGAAAGTTTCAAAACTAAATTAAAATCCTCTGAACAGGGTAGCACAAAACCTCCACTGCCAAGAAAACCTGTTTTACAACACTCCAGTATTACTAGTCTTAACACAAGCACAGAAAAGCAGGAAAAGATAACCAAATATCCGGAATTTAAAACAGAAAGCAGAAATATGGAAAAGAAACAAAATCCCTCCGAAGTGCCTGGTAAGACTTCAACATATTTATATATTTGTGTGTGTCATATTTATATATTTGTGTGTGTCACTCAGCAAACCGTGGTTTAGTGCAATAAATGAACTCAGAGAGTCACTAGATTTTAGGTAAATGATATTAAAAATACAAAAGTCTCCCTTACTTTTTCCCTTAGGTGAAAATCCATTCTGAAAACATGAGGAAATTCTGGGCATTTAGATAATATTTTCAAGATTTTTTTTAAAAAAGAAAACTGTATTAAAATCTGCTTTCCTGTATCCTGAAAGTTTGGTACCACTTATGTTCTTCTTGTTTTAACCCATCCTTGGGATTCTGCAGAATCTTTTCTGAGGATACCAATTTTAAGTAAATTAAATTATTGGAAGTGCTGTTTTTCAGTACCGTATATCTCTTCATCATTTTGCACATTTTTAACTGTACATACTTCCTAATTTGGAAAATTCCTAGGAGGCATTATTTCTTGTATATGTTCCATTAGGATTTAATTGAAATTTGGGAAGCAGGTGGAAAAGGCATCAAAATTATGAAGGGACAAAACTAAATATATACTGAGAGTGCACACATAGCTACACATACTGTATTGCTATGTTATAACCAAAGTGTTATACAGTACTCCCTTATTTCTATTTCATCCTATTTGGGAATATGACTAATATTCTAGACAGTTCAACACATTATTTGTTTAGAATTACCCATGACTTATAACTGTAACTAGTTAGGAGGGAAACAAACCAACACTCATATTCTCAAATAACTGGAATTAAAATATAGATGGAACTGGCCAAGTTTGTTAGCCAAGTCTGCTAATAGTAGGAGCTACCTGGAAGCAAATGTATATCAGTATGTATCAAGCAAAAATATATTGGCTGTTACCAGATATGTTCATGGGTTTTACTCAAGGACACTTCTGGTAAAGTGTCCAAAAGTGCGTTGGGTATATATGTCTTGGTGGAATATCTAGTTGCTTCAATTACAATATTCTGTTCCAGTAAAAAAGTTATAATAGGTACATGGGGTTTTTTGGCGGGGGGGGAGGGGGAGCAAAAAGCAACAACATCACAATGATTTTTAATTGTATCTGGAGAAATTTAGGATAAAAAATAAGGATAAAACATCTGTTAAAAGAAGCACAAAGATAGCCATGTGAAATAAAAGGAAGAAGGAAAATGTTTTGAAACTGAGTCTTGGCCATCAAAATTTATTGCAGTGGCAGGATGATGAAAATAAGTAGGGAGAAAAGCAAGGGTCATTGTACACTTCAATTGCTAAATAACAAAGTGGCATTTGGGGAAGATGTCAGTGTGAGAAGAAGTAAAAAAAAAGTATTCCAAGGGGACATGTCACTGGGTCGATTAATTGGAATAAGCCATGTCTGGTGGCATTGATAAGGCTAATTACTGTAGTCAAACTTCTTGTTTATATATTTATCAACATTAAGGTATTTAGCTAAAAACACAGATTAAGTTAAGGTTTATGGTTTAGTTCACGGGTGTCAAACTCGCCACGTTACGTGAGGTGTTGTGATGTATCGTGACTCTTTTTGCATTGCCGGCAATGGGGTGGGCGCAGCTTTGGTATGATGAAACCAGGCCCGCGGGCTGGCAGTTTGACACCCCTGGTTTAGCTCAAAGAACCATTTAAATCTTTTTTTAGGAATCAGATTAGTAGAGTGGGTCCCTTTAACAATATTTGCTGATCATCTCCTTACTCTGCCTAACTATTGAACTCTGTTTCTGACTACACGGTTCCTAAATAAAAAAAAGTTCTTCAATTTTTAACCTGTGTTTAGAGAATTTTAATTTCTCTGTTGGTAAAAATAAATCAGAAGCTCTCACAGTTGACTGCATTTAGCTGATTCAAATAAACTCTTTATATTCATATAAAAATATTTACAATACCATATATTCTTATTCATAGCAACATAGCATAAATGAAGACTTCTTACAGCAGAGACAGACCAGAGACCTGAAACCAGCTTCTAACTCAATAACCTTTTTGCACAGATTCAGTAGCACTTTCTTCACATTGGCTGACTGAGTTACCACATGACTCTTCCTGCTCATGAATATTCCAACACTCCTCCCTTCATGACAGGAAGAGACATCAGACCTATAGACTTAATACATTTTCCATAGTGAATACCACCCAATGATTTAGTCATCATGTCTGCCAAATTATCCTCAGAAGAACAATGATGTAAACTAATCAATTTTCTTTTTACACCTTCCCTGACATTACAATACTTAATGTCTACATGTTTACTTCTGTTCTTCACCCTGTCACCAGTTGCCATTTTTATACAGGCAGCATTGTCTTCAAATACCTTTACAGATTCTTTTACATTAATACTTAAATCTTGCAACAACTGTACATCATTATTTGGCCATACCCACTTACAACCCACAGCTTTGGTTCCCTGTGGCAAAATCACTGATTTAAATACTTCATGGTCTCCCATGGATTTCATCTCTTTATCCATGGCCTCCTTCCATCTTTCTTGTTCAGCTTTTGGTAATGCCAACATCTCTTTATAACTTCTTGGCTCATACCACACATTGCAAACCTTTACCTTGCTGGCAGAATACCTGTCAGGCGGAATTCCTTTGTTACATCGCTCTGACCTATGTGGTATTAACTGCTCCTGTGTCTCAAGTCTTTCTGGCTTCATGTCTTGTTCAGCCTCTCCTCCCTGAACATTGACATCTTCAATAATTATTTTTTCATCATTAGATGAGTTATTGTCACTAAACAGATCACCGTCATTAAGTGAGACATACCCAGAATTTGCATTAATTCTGTCCCAATTTTGTTCTGCAAAATTAGCAGACCTTGAAATTACAATTCTTTTACTTCCATCGCTAAAGCGATATCCTTTTGACCCTGGCTCATAGCCCACAAACCTGAGCTTTCTTG